ACAGACACCCCTGCAAACACTCGTGATGTTTCAGCATCTGCATTATAGCACTGCTGCATGTCTGTGAGAACATTCTGCTAGTATCTTATCTGTCCTTTCTCCAGTTCAACTTTCACTCTCTCTTGCTCATCTTATCTCTCTGTTTTACATTTTCTAAGCATTCAACCTCCAACATCCAGGCTTTTAACATATGCCCTTATATCTCACCTTTCCAGCAGACCTTCACTTACTCCCTTTATTGCCCCTGTCCCTGAGCTGAGATTACGAGACCCCCTTTATCTCTCTCAGGTAAGTGGTGAAGTTGTTAGCACTCAAAGGTGTTGAGATGTGGGAGAGCTAGACCTACACACACAGGCATGCACGCACACACACACACACACAGTTCTCCTTGACTGTCATTTCTCTTTGATAATAACAAGCCTTCTCCATCCAAAACTGAGGGGGTGGACCTTACGTAAGCACTGTCTCCTCCATCCCTCCCTCCTCTCTTTATCTGTCTGTCTCTATCCGTTCCTCTCCACATCTCCCCTTCCTCATTTACTCCCAAGAGGGCCTAAGGTTGCCATGGAAATGGCCCTGAATCACTATCCCTTGTTTTTTCCCCCGTTTTGCTTTGTGATTGTAGTTGTTGTTGATGATGATGGTGGTGTTTGTGGGATTTATTTTATTTATTTTTTTTTTTTTTTTGCGGCGGGATAAATTGTTCATAATAACGTATTATTTCAACTAAACTCACAAAGGCACCTATCAAAGCTCAAAAAAGATACATAAATTTCTGTCAATATTGTAGCATCCTAAGAAGAAAACACACTGGAAACTAATTCTCAATTGCTCAACTGTATCAGTAAAACACTGTGCTGGAGAGAGCTAAGGCTGCGCCAGCTATAATTACAGCATGGCTCTCAGTAATAATGTGACATTAGACAGTAGGACAGAGCATAAGCAGCTTTTTTGATTATCCATGACTGCCATACCATTATCCCTACTGTACAAACACCTTTCTATGAAACTAGAGCTTGTACGATCATGACATGTTTGTTAATTATGATTAGAAATATACATGTCAGTATGATTGTATGATTTCAATGGATACTTAAAAAGGTGAAGCATAAACTCCATGAAAAAGTAGACAAAGCATAAAATCAGAATCAGAAACAAGATGAAATGAGAAATTAGGCAAACAAGGGCAGGGTGATGTGCAGGCTCAGGTGTTACACACTTCTAGCGTGCCTTCGACACAGTTCGCATAGGTTGAAATGCTTGTTAAAATGAAAGCATAATTGTCATGCACCTTTCATCATTGGATTCTCTCAGTTGAAATATCAACAAAAAACATTTTTTTAAATATTTATTTCTTATGCTTAGAATTGTCTTGTTCACATTGCTTTCCTGGAATGTTTTTTCTGGTAGCTAAATTGTTAAATGGAGATACATTTGACTTTTTTTCCACCATCTGTCCCAACATGGTCATGCACTCACAAAATCATAACAATTTACACAACTCTGTCGTACACAGGTTAAAGTCACATAGGTTAAGGTTAGGGTTAGGGACCAGGTAGCATTCATACCCTTTCTCATGACTTGATTTGTAGGAAATGCGACAAAATACAATCGCTCCTTGTATGAAATTCTCATAAGATCAAGCTTATCTGTTTACGCAAATAAAAAAGCAATCATAAATTCTTCTATGTGAAATAGGACACATGAACTCATATAATAAAGCTGGTGATATATAATTTTCTTTATACACTGCCAGGAGAAACAGAGAAACAATTCTATTCAACACCTACAATTTCTTCAAATCCTACAAATGCTTCTAAACTGCATGAAAACTTTAATGATGCCTAAGTGAAATCCTGGGTGGCTTCAAAGACTGGTATACAAATAGAAGGGAGAACTCTATTTGCTAAGATCTTGTCCTTCAAAATTGGCAGTAATGCATTTTGCCACACACCAGATTTGTGTCCCTCACGTCCCGCTGTGTGCACAGATTCTACAGAAAATACTGTCTTTATGTTAGCAGGAACTATTGCTGGGTTGAAACTGGAGAGGTTACAAAACAAATCACTGCTTTCACTTTTCATAATTTAATTTATCAATAGATGTTTTTT